TCAAAAAAAAAAAAAAAATTAATTCCAGGAAAAGAAAATAATGATCTTTTATTAGTGTCAACAAATTTTATCTTATTTTCAGACTCTCTAATTTAGCATTGAACCATCAGTATATTATAGGAAAAGGAGTATGCCAGCCTGAAACTACTTCAGTCACTGCTAGCCCACCTGAAAAATTAGGAAAAGGCCAGGGGGCATAAAGAGGTGAATTTAACCCGATTAGTAATTATTCCTGGCAGCAAAACTTATGAATAAATATTTGTATCTTGGGGATGAAGTGTTAGTGAATTTCACATGTTACATGGGTTGAAAGGTCTTATATCTCAAATGTTGATGGAGATAAAGATGGATATGTTTGGGACAACTGTGTTAGCTGACTTAGACTAGCTCTAGAGGATTATATGGTGTCACATAATAAAGATAAATATTATAAATTGAAACAAAATCTATTAATGCTATGTGGGCACAGGACAAGCTCATGCATTACTGATGATCCTTTTGAAATCCCATTAGTCCCAGTATTTCTTGCCCTTCTAATACAAGACAGAGTCAGCTCATTTTGTGCTTTGCTTGTGTCAGACTTAAGCCATTTCTGTGGTAAATCATGGTTCATTTTAGTGGAAACTAAGATTTGAGCACTGTGTATGTTCATTGTTTCTGGTATGTACTGTTGTTTCAATGAGCAGCTAGAAAAAAATTTTAATCATGAATTAAAGGAAAAACCTTGTAATTATGACACTAATACTTTATTAAATTATTTTAATAATAAAAATTAATTAAAATTTAAATCATGAATTAAAGGAAAAACTTGAAATTATGACACTAAAAATTTAAATTAATATTTAATAATTTAAAGTAAATTTTAAAATTCTGATATTTTCTATTAAAATTTAACATTAAATGTTTTGTTTTACTTTTTAGTTTGTATTTTTGACACGTATGTGGTAAAAATTTTTGTTCTAGTTTTACACTTACTTCAGTGCTGTGATATACATAAAATTGTTTCAGAATTATAATACCTTAAAAATTGTGTATCTCTTAAGTAAAGTTTGAAGGTTTTTTGGAACGTTTCTGTTTTGTTTTGCTTTTTGTTTTTAGACAGTGTCACTGTATCACCCAGGCTGGAGTGCAGTGGTACGACCTCGACCCACTGCAACGTTGCCTCCTGGGTTCAAATGATTCTCCTGCCTCCACCTCCTGAGTAGCTGGGATTACTTAACAGTTGTGCCCCACCATGCCTGGCTAATTTTTTGTATTTTTCGTACAGAGGGTTTTCACCATGTTGGCCAGGCTGTTCTCAAACTCCTGGCCTCAAGTAATCTGCTCTCCCTGGCCTGCCAAAGTTTGGAGAATACAGGCTTGAGCCACCACACCTGGTGAGGGATATTCTTAGCATATATATCGCACTTGAAATATATAGTCAAAATAACTGTATTAAAACTTACTTGAATTTATTTCTTCTGTGTAACTTATGTTAGTGCAATACACAGCCCGCCCTCCTTTTTTTTAGAGGAGGAATTTTGCTCTTTTACCCAGGCTGGAGTGAAATGGCGCAATCTTGGCTCACTGCAACCTCTGCCCTCTGGGTTCAAGTAGTTCTTCTACCTAGCCTCCCAAGTAGCTGGGATTATAGGCACATGCCACCATGCCTGGCTAATTTTGTATTTTTAGTAGACACAGGGTTTTGCCACATTTGCCAGGCTGGTCTTGAACTCCTGACCTCAGATGATCCACTGCGCCTGGCCGCAGCTTCTTATTTCTGTTTGTATTCAGGTTTAGGGTTTGCTTTATTTACATTTTTCTGATTTATACTTACTTTTCGAGTATGTGACCATTTAAAGGTTTGAAGAGTCAAACCTGAGTTAAAAGGTATACCCAGAGAATTCTCATTTCCATTGCTGTATCCTCTACCCCATTCTCACCTGCCCCCACCAACCTTTAGTTTCTGGTTTACCTGTTACGTGTTTTTTTAAAAGCCTGTACACATGTATTATTTTCTTTTCTGTGTTACATAGAAGGTAGCTAAACTTAGCTAACACATTGTGTTAATCCTGGTTTGGGTGAGTTGAAAGTTTTGGCTCTACCTACTTTTTAGAAATTTTGTGACATTTGGATTTAAGAAAGGTTTCATTTGTATTTTAGCTTTTAGTAGAAGAGCAGCTTGACAGTTACCATAGAGGAAATTTAAATGTTTTGGGGTTTTTACAGAGTTAACTAGTAGTGGTATATAGTAATTGAATTAGTTTATAAAAGTTTATAGTTAATATTTAACTTAAACCTGTTCTAAAACAATCCTTTTTTGTAAGGAAGAAAGATAATCATGCCACATAGGTTAATATGTATAAAAGGCTCCTAAAATGAGTATAAATCTGTTTCAGACTTCTGGGCCACTGGGAAGAAGCAGCCCATGATCTTGCCCTTGCCTGTAAACTGGATTATGATGAAGATGCGAGTGCAATGCTGAAAGAAGTGCAACCTAGGGTATGTTAAAGTAGAGAAAGGGAAAGTCATTAGTTTAATACTCCATTGCTCCAGCGCTTACCCCTGGCAGCCATAATTCATCTGAAAAACAAGCAAAGAAACAAACCTTTGGAAGATAAAAATCTGTAATTGCTGAAGTTTGTGCTCAACTCTAGAGATCTTACTAGGTTTTCATGCTTTCATTTATCATGCTTTATTAGAGCAAGGTCTTTTACTTTGTTAGGAAGCCTGTGGTGGAATTATAACCAGAAAATTGGAAATAGAAAAGAAGGTATCAGGTTTACAACAAGGAAACAAATAGAAAATCTATAATTAGCATTATCCAAGATTGAGTGTGGTGTGTCCTTATATATCATAGCCACTTTACAAAGCAAGAAGGCCTTGTAGAAGTTAAGAAATTTCATTCTTTCTGGCCAGGCGTGGTGGCTCACGCCTGTAATCCCAGCACTTTGGGAGGCTGAGGTGAGTGGATCATCTGAGGTCAAGGAGTTCAAGACCAGCCTGGCCAACATAGTGAAACCCTGTCTCTACTAAAAATATAAAAAATTAGCCAGGCATGGTGGCACACGCCTGTAGTCCCAGCTACTTGGGAGGCTGAGGCAGGAGGTAATCACTTGAACCTGGGAGGCGGAGGTTGCAGTGAGCTGGGATTGTGCCACTGCACTCCAGCCTGGGTGACAGAGCGAGACTGTCTTTAACAACAACAACAAAAAGTTGTTTCAGCCTTTTAAAAATAATACTGAATCCCAAAGGTAGAACATTCCAGCTTTTAAGGATGATTTTTCTGTAAAATTGTTGGTTAAAATAATTTTAATGCATTTACATGGTAAATCCTTCATTTCGTGGGAAATTCAACTGTCAGGAATTTACTCAGAGATTTTAAGGCAGTCAAAATTGTATGGAATTTAACTTATTTACTGCCAGAGAGTTCATTTGGTTTTCTGTTTTCTTATAACAGTGCTAACTTGTCAGCAAAGTTGTAAACAAGCTAAAGTGACGGTTGAATGTGAATCTCTTCGATTTATTCTCTGAGGAAATAACAGATGCAGAGAATTTATTTGATACTACTATTTACTAGTGTCTGATACACATTATTTTCGTGTTTTCCCTCTATAATATAGACTATAGCAATTCGATAAGACTAAATATTTTTTCCTCTCCTATTTTATGGGTATGGAAACTTAAATATACTGTTGCATATACTTGGAGTATGTGTTCCCAGTGTCTGCTTTCCACGGCAGACATCCTTAATAATACTCTTCCTATTGAATTCAGCTGTCCTTCTGAAACCTAAACACTGTGTATCTGGTAGAAACTAGTAGGCAAGAATTGTCGTGCAGTTTGAAACCTGTTTGTTAATCTGAGATTATAACATTTCTCTGTAACTTCAAATCCCAGGCCCTTTCCTCTGTTTTACAGTGCCTCATGCAGTTGAGGTTGGTTTTGTTAAATCCTGAACTTGTGTTACATCTTTTTCTACAAGGCAAATCTGTCATTTTTCAGAACTGTATGTTGAATTAAACGTTTCTCCACAGAGAATACTTGTGTTAACCCTATTCAGCTTTTGGAGCAGGCTAAGTTATCGCTCTTTTTTCTAGGCACAGAAAATTGCAGAACATCGGAGAAAGTATGAGCGAAAACGTGAAGAGCGAGAGATCAAAGAAAGAATAGAAAGAGTTAAGAAGGCTCGAGAAGAGCATGAGAGAGCCCAGAGGGTAAATTTCCTATAGCTAAGCCATGAAAGAAAAATACAGAGTTTTTAGGACACTAAAATTCTAATTTCTGTCTCTTTTATTTAATGCTGGCTACAGTTCTATAGAGTAATGATATTACTTATAAGGAGTCCACTTTCACTGTGTCTAATTTTGGGAACATTTTTAGTCTTAAATTTTTCAGTGAGCTTTTATTTCACTACTTTGTATTCTTGTTTGTGTTTTTATAAAATCAAGAGTTTTTCCAGGTCAAGTAATTAAAATGTGGTGGCATTATTGTTTGATCTTTTGAGGATCCTTGGCCAGATTAATTAAATTATGATTCTTCCTCTCTTCCGACAGTGGCTGTGTTGCTATTTAAAATTGATTCTGGCAGGGCAAGGCGTCAAGTGCCTGTAGTCCCAGCTGTTTGGGAGACTGAAGTTGGGGGTTCACTTGAGCCCAGGAGTTTAATACTGGCCTGGGCAACATAGTGTGATGCTACCTCTTTAAAAAATAACAATAATTTACCTACTTACTTCTGACATTGTTGAATGAAAGAACATAAGGCTGTATTATATAACTTGTTGCATTCTAATTTTTTGTCATGTAATATTAAGCATCATACTTGATTTTTAAGGTTATAGTTCATAATCTTTAAATTTTACATTTATATATCTCCTTGATAATTTTATAACTATCTTATGAGGGCAATTTATTTTTCTTTCATTTTGTCTTTTAAAAAGCAGCAAAACATGAATAAATCTACATTTTTATTGTGTAGGGAGAGTATGGAAACAGAAGTCATGACTGTCTCGGTAATCTAGCCTTTTCCTTCCATGTAGGCATTTTAAAACAAGGATGAAAGGCTGAGCCTGGTGGCTTATG